GTTAGGCAATTAAAGCAGAGGAATACCGTGCCAATGGTTCCCTCAGGCCGTTTAGGACTGGCACAGCATTTCATCCTTTCAGCACGGCTCTCACACCTTAGGAGGTGGATAGAAGTTAACGGGACAAAACCAAAAAAGTGGGGGAAAAAACACCAAACAAAATTAGTTGAGTTCATTGCCGTCCCAAGGTTGGGGAGTTTCTTATAATTGGGGGTGGAGGCCGATAATGTAAATGTATATAAAAAGCTGCAGATGCAGGTAAATTGGTATATGACTCTCTCGCTTCCCCTTGAGTCGCTTTTCTCTCCTCCCAACCCTTATGGGTTTGTCTCTTTCACGGTATCTATTTCCCTCCCTGTCTCACAAGGGCTGAAAACGAAAGAAAGGCGAGTGTTACCTTTCTCTTGTACTAGACCTTAGTGTCACGTCTCTCATTCTCTCCCCTCTTTCTCCTTTTATCTTTATCTCTACTTTTCTTTCTCCCCTCCGTTTTCTTTACTTTGTTTTTCTCTCCCGCCCTCCTTCCTTTCTCCTCTCGCTCATTCCGCTTTTCTCCCACACACACTTACGTATCCCTTCTCTCTGTATGTATAAATATGGATAATATAATTTGTGTATGGATGTATAAAATGTTCTCACACATATATTACGACTAATGGGAAATTTCTCCCAAACAGCGACTACTACTTGATCTTTCTGCATTTCCGTCTCTTTTTTTGTTGCTTCCGGGGTTTATCTATTCTTTTTACTCGTTTATCTATTTTTCTCTATCCAATATTTTTTATAAGCAATTACATAAAACAATAATTTTCATTGACAGTTTTCATTTTTCGTCTCCACCAGTTTTTCGTTTTTTTCTTTTTTTTTTTACTTTTCCCTCTTTACTCAATATGTTTATACATGCAAAATTTAGGAGAACAGTATTACAGTATTTTCTTGCATGAGATTCCACGTGTATTAGGTTCTTATTGACATACACGTATTACTCTTGTGTATCTGTATATATGTGCACACGCACGCACATAAGCATGCGAATAAATATTTATAAATGTATATATATACATTCATATAATACACAATATACATTTATATATACATGCATATTCATAACCACATTTATATATGCGCGCGCGTGCACACATAACATTTCTACTTCCGAGGTAGAAACGCTATGTTTACGGCATGTATTTATTTATCTACGTATCTGTTCATCCTTCTTCAATTATATGTTCTGAAGTGATTTGATTTTACGATGTGTTGTGTGTGTTTGTGTTCACTTGCGTGCGTTACTGTGTGCGCAAGTGTTTGGAAAAAAAAAAAAAAAAAACGCTGTGTTATTGTGTGTTTAAGGAGGGGGGGGACGGCGTGCGTTGCTGTGTGCGTAAGTGTTTGGAGTGGAGAGGAGAGGAGGAGGAGAGAGAGAGAAAAAAAAAATTATCATTCAATCAATCCCCATGGGTAGTGATAATACAGAGATGATAATCTTTATTAGGGTGGTAATTGTATCATTACCAAGAATTATAATAACATGGGCTACAATATCGTCAATAAATATAAGTATAACAGTAACAACAAGAATAACGATGATAATAACAATTGGAAAGATAATGAGAATGATAATAACAGTTACAAAGAATGATAACAGTAATAATAGTAACACAACAGTGTTAATGGCAATAATAATAATAATAATAATAATAATAACGAAAAGAACATTAAGTCATGATAATAATAATAATGGTAAAAATATTCATGATAGTAATTGTAACAATAATACTTATAATAATAAATATATACATACCCCTAATACACATACGTTTATATATATATATATATATATATATATATATATATATATATATATATATATATGCGCATATTTATGCATATACATATTCATATTACATATTTACATATACATATATTTATGTATTTACTTATATATATTTACATATTTATACATTTATTCAATATACATAGATTATATATTTATTCATATATATGTATGTATGTATATATATATATATATATATATATATATATATATATATATATATATATATATATATATATATATATATATATATATATATATATATATATATATTTAATATGTATATATGTACTCATACACATATGTAAATATATATATATATACACACACATGAATGTCTATATGTATGTATCTATATGTATATAATTATCTATATGTGTGCGCGTATACGTATATATGCATATATGATACACATACACATATTTATACTTACATGTATGTGTATATATATGTATATACATGTATATGCATGTATGTTTTTTTGTTAAAAGAAAAAGAAAAACAAAAAAAAAAAATGCATATACATGTATATACATACATATATACACACACATATATACACATATACATACTTACATGTATATCATATATGCATACATACGTATACGCGCACACACGTGTAAATGCATATATACACACGCATGAATGTCTATATGTATGTATCAATATGTATATATTTATCTATATATGTGTATACATGTATATGTATGTACATATATATATATATATATATATATATATATATATATATATGTATGTATGTGTGTATGTGTATGTAAGTATGTATGCATGTATCTGTGTGTATGTATGTGTGTGTGTATGTATGTGTGTGTGTATGTATGTGTGTGTGTATGTGTGTGTGTATGTGTATGTGTATGTGTATGTGTATGTGTATGTGTATGTGTGTGTGTGTGTGTGTGTGTGTGTGTGTGTGTGTGTGTGCATATGTATGTGTATATGTATATGTATGATATTTTGATATATATATATATATATACATATATATGCATGTATAAGTAAATGTATGTATATGTATATACATATGTATATGCATAGGCTTTGGAGCGATTTTGAAAGTGGGGGGGGCGCACTTCTGCGAGTGAATTCAATTCGAGGGCGCGTAAGCGCCCGAGAGGGGGTGTCCCCCTCACACGGTATGGAAAATTTAATCTAATAAAGCAATTGGACTGACACAATACAGTTTCATTGTCAAGCCCAAGGCATTCTTTTATTAAAGTCGGTGATGCTAGTCTCTAAATGACAGTGTAACAAATCGGCACTGAGCTATGGTACTTAACCCTCCTTGTCCTCTCATGGTGGTACAGCATACAACAAATGCCATGCATGTGTATATGGGTGCTTGGTTCCAAGCCACAGTACTGGCTAAGTATCTCGGCTGATATATCTTATCAAAATATGTCATAAGGCCATCTCAATACCCGGTATAGCATGTACAAGGGATCAAAAGGTCTGGGACTGAATCCTGCTGCTGCTGTAGTGACGTGCTAGTGGATGAACCTGTGTGTAGTAACTAGCTAACTGCACTTGGCCCCCCTGGGCCAAAAAGTGGGGGGGGGGGGGCGCCCCCCCCCCGGCTCCAAAGCCTATGATATGTATATATGAATATATTTTAATCTTTAGAACAATTTTTCAATCGAGAATGTTAAAGGACTAAAATAACATGAAATTTCAACCTCACATCCACATGCAATTTTAACATTGTTTAACTTATTCTTTAGCCTTGCAACATAGATTTTCCAGAGAATTGATTGAATGGTGCTGACGAGTGTGGGATGGTGGTGGTGGTGATGGTGATAATGATGGTGCTGGTGGTGATAGTGATAGTAATGGTGGTGATAGTGATGGTGGTGATGATAGTAATAGTAATAGTGGTGGTGACGGTGATAATGGTGATAGTGATGATGGTCATGGCAATGGTGGTGGTGGTGATAGTGGTGATAGTGGTGGTAATGGTGGCAATGGTAATGGTATTAGTGGTGGTAATGGTGGTGGTGGTAATGGTGGTAGTGGTAGTGGTGGTGGTGGTAGTGGTGGTGGTGGTAATGGCGGTGGTAGTGGTGGTGGTGGCAATGGTGGTAGTGGTGATGGTGGTTGAGATAGTAATGGTGATAATGATAATGGTGATGGTGGTAGTGGTGGTAATGGTGGTGATGTTAACTTAAAACAATAAATAAGTGATCAGTCAAAACTGAAAATAGTCATGATGTACATCTGTTACTGGTTGAGGAGCCACAGGTTGATGTCATTTTCCAATTGTAGAAACGCTGCGTGATGGAGGTGGTGTTCCTGACCATGTGGTTCCAAAGGCGTCCATATCTTGACAGTAATGAGCGCAGCGCAGGCGGAACTCTGTCCTGGCGAAGGGCACACGCAATTGCTCTTGTCGCGTCCACCACGGGTGTTGTGTCGGGAGTCGTGTGGAAAGCGAGGCTTGACAGATGTGGAGTCTGCACTTCGTTAACCTTATACACTGCACAAAGGCCGCCAACGTTGCGCCGTTACAATGGTTGAAGTAGCAACTGGAGTTGTAATGTGAAGCCGGCATGGGCACCT